TATATATACTATACAGACTATACTCAATATATTCATGGACAAAACTTTATTTTATTTTAGTAAAAGTACTTCACTAAGAAATATGACTTTTTGTATGTGAAAGACTTGTAATATTAACTGAAAGGCTGCCAAATTTTGTGAAGATATACCTAATATATTGAGAGTTATAAGTATTAAATTTATGTCAACTTTAAACGAGTACAGAAGGTCACGTGACTCAGTCAGATTGACCAACCCCGTGTTGGAAGAGTTAACATCTGGGAAAGAATGATCATATCTTTAAGCAGGTGTTTATATTTTTTTGTCCATATATAGTCCAACCTGTATAGTTGTTGTGAAATACATATTAAAAGCCAACACATCAAAAGAGTTGTTGTTTTGGCATAAAATTTAATTAAAAGAAAAATGTAAACCACTAAAACTCGATTTGTGTTTGTAACAGGAGCTGACTGACAAGATGCTGGAAATGCTAGAAGTTGTCCCCACAAATTTTCAGTGTGATATCATTGCATCCATACCAGATATAATCAATGATAGTGACCATTCTGAAGTAGCAAGGAGACTCTGGTAAAAAAAGAAAATCAAATTTTTACAAAGTTACCGCTTCTTAATTTGTCAAAAATAAATTTGTACTGTGATGTATGTAATAAATATAAATGTTCTTCATTTGTAATACTATTAGCACCCACTTGTTTTACTACCTTTATAAGTACTGTATATGACTGCAGAGTTTGATCTCTACCATTATTTAATAGTGACTTTAGCTTTCGTTTCTTTGGCTATATGTATTATAAATTAAACATTTACTCATTCTCCATATACATTGCTGGTAGAGTTAAATCTTTACTTCAACTCAGCCATCACTTTCTTGCCATAATTATGTTTTTGCTAAGCAGCTTCAGAACTCCATATTTCTGGTGTACAAGATGATGCTGGATGTTTTGAGCAAATTCAGTGTATTCCTTTGAGATTCAGTCTAGGATGGTACTTTTGTAAAGAAATTCTTAGAAGTTATTTTTAAACTGTGCTAACCTGCTCTCTGGGTAATCAATACAACCACAAGTTTTTTTTTTGCTCTTCAAACACTACAGACAGCTCAATGAGGCATAACTTACGTCATAAGTGTGTAATAAACAACTTTACAAAGTTTTCATCTCAGTTGAACTCTTTGTTTATTAAAAAAATATACTAAACCTTAAGATATAGTGATCTACTATAAAAACATGTTTACAAGATTAGTGTACGTTACAGAAACTAACTTTTGATATAAAAATGTGACTTTTAAAACATCACAAGGATGGAAACAAATAATAATATCGCACAGGCATAAAGAGAAATTTACTCATTAGTTTAATGCAATGTTTTTAACTTCATTCACTAAATCCATAAAATTCTTCCTCATCTTCATCTTCACTTGAACTACAAAATAAATCTTTCACTTGGTCATATGTAATATCGTCATCATAGATGTAATCTTCATATTCATCATCATTAGTACCAATACTGCTGTTACTAATGTTTCTCTTTTCAGTAACTTTTTGCCATATCATCTCATCCTCTGTCCCATCTTAACTTGTTGGAGATTCTGCACTTGAATGATCTTTGTATAGCATCAACATTGATCTCTTTCCATAATGATTTGACCTAATCAGCTACCATTGGCAAGCTGGCAGCACGTGCATTTCCTGTCGCAGTGAATGTACATTCCCCTTCAAGCATCACCTTTCACAAAGTTTATCTTTGAAGGGCTTGTTAAGACACATCCAGAGGTTGCACAAGACTTGTCAGACCACCTGGTGTTATAGCTAGAACTGTATTGCTTTCAATATATACATAATGTTCAACAGAATTAGCAAAATGTGTGCTGAAAGAATCCCACATAAGAAGACTTTTTCTCTGCCCAATGCAAGCCCCTTGTTCCAATCTTTTCATATCCAGAGCTTCATACCATTCTTGTCTATCCAACCTTTTGGATGCACATGTACATCAACACCATTTGAAAATTTGTTTTTAGGCATAGGCTTCAGTCTGGTTCTGTCAACCAAACATGCAAGAGCCACTGTAAATCTCAATTTCTCTTGTCCAGTTGTCTTTGCCCTTTTTTATTTACTGTTTTGGATGATGACATCAAATCAAACAGATGTTTCATCTATATCCCCTATCATGCATAGTTTAAAGACGTATTATTTTCTTTTCTCAATTATATATTGCATGAGTTTTGTCACCTTTTCTTCAAGGTCCTCAGGTAACTTTTGAGATACTTTAGTCTTTTGCCTCAATGTTAGACCGTTGCTGTTCATAATTCTTCTCCACCATCTCGTTCCATCTCTACAGTCGTTTATGTTCTCTTTTTTTTTTTCACAATTGATTTTCCTTTTAAACGAATCTCGTTTCTTGTCACCACAAGTCCACTTTTTCTTTGATCTTCTACCCGATTATGCAACTGTTCTTCCAGCTTTGGCCATGCACTCTTCTTTCCTTGACTGGTGCAGTTGTTTTAATGCAGTTTTTGAGTCCTTTCTTTGATTTTCTCCAAGATCTTACCACTTTTTTTTCATAACACCATGTTGACGGGCCGCTTCACAGTTGTTGGTGCTTTCAGCTTGAACAATAACTTTCAGTTTAAATTTGGCAGGATAACTGTCTCTTCTTCGTTTTTGCATCAGGGTGTTTTTTACAAAAAAAGGAAAAACTTGTGCACATGGGTGATCAAAAAAATTTAAACAATACCTAATATTAGTAATATTTTAGTATGATGGATGAGATCAGTACATTTCAAATCAAAAAATTTTTGGTTAATTGTAAATAGCATGTGAGATAAATAACTTCTAGTTATGAAGAATCGAGACAAATGATACAATTATAAATATTCTATTGTAATGCAGGTGGAACGATGTCAATGCACTTTATCAAAAAAGCAATCAAAAGCAAAAGGAACAATGCAGTTTGGTTAAATATGCTGTTAACCAGAGAGTTCTTGCTGGAACTCTATCTTTGAAACTATATATAAGACAAGGGGTAAAATCAGGCATTGTTTTATGAGTAAAATGTATCGTCTTGTACACCAGCAAATATGGTACTTCTTATTTATGTGATATCCATATCTTTAGTTATATGTAGTTCCAGAATGGGACTTTTGTTATGGTAATTTTTATTGTGTTAAGCTTATCTTTCAGTTGATATTTCTTATTTCAGTGATCTCCTTCTGGAATCCCGAGAATTAAGGATTCCTATATTGGACACTTTATCCAACTTAAACATACCATCAGAGACAGTTACAGAGGTATAATTTAATAATTTGATTTACAAATTCTTTTATTTATTGTGTTATATATATAGAATTTATAATATAGAGCATGTTAATATATAAGAATAAATACCAATATAGCAATAAATGATTACCCTTGCCGTGTTATATATACACCACAAAATTTGTGTTACAGTGTCATTTGTTATATATATTTATTTAATTTGGAGTTTAAATTTTAACTTTTCGGAATTGACTAGAAACACCTCTTCCAATTTGTGACATTTATATTACTAGTTTTTCCTTTGTCATTGTGCTTCTGTCATTTTTTTCTTACAGTTATTTGTGGAAAAGTTTGCCCATAATTATAAAACTTTACTAGCCGTGACAACCTCTCCATAAGTTTCATATTAATGATTGTTTATATCTGTCTACAGGTGTGTGTGTGTGTTTAATGTGTTTTATGTCTTTAACTCCGTTTACCATAAATTTCCTAAGTGATTATTGAAGTGGATAATAATTATCAGTTTTAATTGTCCATAATTGCACAAAATGCTTAGGAAAAGGTCATAAGTGGTTAAATTTTATCTAAATAGGAAATTATTTATACTTTGTTCAGTGATTTATCTGTGGTTTCCTGTATATCACGTAGCTTATTGTCAAAATAGTGGGTGCAAATGATTGGTCCAACAGGCCAGATACGATTAACTTGTACAACTGAACCCTTTGTTAAAAGCTAAAGTACTATATATGCCAAGAAAAATTCACCATTGAAAAAACGAATGAAATACCTATACAAACATTTCTTGTTATTTGAAATAGAGTATATTAAATAAATGCTGGAAAACAACTTAATAGAAGCAGTATTGCTGTACTCCACAAACTTGCATAGTTGACAGTTTGTACCAACAACTTGTAAATGTTTTTCCTAATTGACTAGAAAGTTAGAAAAAACTTGCCATTAAGTATTGAGAATTGTGGTGATTTTATGTGTATGATTAAGTGTAAGTAAATTATAGACAATTATTTGTTTCCACACACTTTGTTTAATATTAATTAGTAATATACATTTCAGTGAACTACATATGAAATATGCTACACTTGCTGACTCATGTTCTCTAGTCTCTACACACATTTACTTAGTCATAATGGTTTTGTTTATTGAAAGTAATGGTTCTCTGCTGATGGTCGAGAAAGAAAAAAATTGACTTGGTTAAAATGATATAGCCATGTAAAAAACTAGTTTCTAAAGTTTTGATAGCTTTATGAGGGTTTTTGCATTTAAATGTGAATAAATTGGAGAATATACAATGAACAGTAACAAAAATTTAAATCTCTTTTTGTCATTGAACTAAATTAGAAATGTCTGGAGTATGGTGTGAGAAGAACTGTTTAAAACCATTAATACCTAATATTTTGTTACATTTTCTTCAGAGACACTCACAACCCTTTTAAAGTATTATTTACTCCATTGTGATTGAGCTTATGTAAAGCATGTATCTCTTTATGGTAACTATAATGCAAAATTTCGTGTTTATAAAATTTTTTTATTGAAGTCGTAAGATTACTTCCATTTATTTGAAATAACTTAATATCAAAGCTTTATGGTTGTAAATGTGAAATATAAAAAAAAAATTAAGTTTTTATTGAAAACAATTGAAAATCATTTCTTCATTCTTAGTCTCTTTAGTCAACCTTATCCCCTTGAGGTGGATTCCTGTACATGGTGAAGGGACCTCCCAGGAAAGGTTCTGTATCTTCAGCTTACCTCCTCTGGGATCTGAACATCCACCCATGCATTTGCCATACGTGACATCCCGTGAAAGGGAGGAGAGGATCCTGGTAGTTGAGGGGTGTCATTGATGGGTCAGTTTATATCAGTGGTATTTCAACACATCACTTTGGTTTTTAATTTCTATAGACGGGTGGCCCTAGGTTGGCTCCCCCAGGGTCAATCGGCTGGTCCTGTTGGGATAGGGTCAACTAAGTACCAGTGGTAGATGTTCTCAATGGGTGTTGTGGACATTGTGTCTGATGTTGGTGCTTGGGTATAGTGCTCATAAAACCCTGGTGTCTCTACAGTGCTCCATTTTGGCATTGTAGTGCATCCCCTTGTAGGACTCCATGGTGGGTGTGATCAGTGGGTACTAAAGTTTCTCTATTTTGTATGGATCTTGCACCTAGTGTCCCCCCCCCCCAAAAAAAAACAATTAAAAAACAAGTTGATTTGAAAGTGACCATATTTAGAAGGCTGAACAGCAGTCACCATCCCAATTTGCACCTGCACCTTGTTTTTTTATCCTGCATTCTTTATCTGATAAACCTTTAAGGCAACAGTCTCTCTCTTTTTTTTTATTCAGACAGGATTAGAGGGGCTTGCTGTCTCTCCGAAGTCAGTTAAGAAGCTACGTTATGAGGATATCTTGGTGGGAACCCTTACATCAAACACAGCAAACTCCTCCTGAAGTCAAAGGCCATTGGGGATATACGTCTTGAGGTTACTCCCCATGCTACTTTGAATTCCTCACGAGGAGTTATTATTGAGAGGGATTTACAAAACATCCCTGAGTTGGAGATTCTCACTGGTTTTTCCAGCCAAGGAGTTTATTCTGTGTGATGTATCTCCACTCATAAAGAAGTAATTATGGTGCCTACCAAAGCTCTTGTATTGATGTTTACATCACCATGTCCACCTGCAACTGTCAAGGCAGGTTATCTGAACTGTAAGGTACAGCTTTATATTCCTAACCCTCTCAGGTGTTTCCAGTGTCAGTAGTTTGGACATTCTAAGGCATCTTGTCATAGTTCTTTGATGTGTGCTCATTGTGGTGGCAAAGACCATGATGCCTGCAAGTGTCAATTGGACTCTCACTGTGTCAATTGTGGTGGTTCTCACCCCTCTTACTTTTCATCTTGCCCTAAGTGGATAGAGGAAAAAGAAGTACAACGTTTACGTAATGTAAACAACATTTCTTATCCAGAGGTTCAGAGATTGTTGTTCCTCTTTTTGTCTTGGACATATGCTGCTGCACTCCATTTCACTGCTACAGTGGGAGTGCAGACAGATCTTTCTGTACCTCCAACAGAGTCTTTCTCTCATTGTGTAAAGAGCCTTTTACCCTCTGTGGATGCAAGAGTTTTCAAGTCCATGTCTTCTCCTGTTTGTGTCCCCACTGTTGCATCCAGTGACTGTTCTGGTCCATCTCCGTTGGCCTCAAGGTGCAGAACCAATATTTGGTCATGCCCTCAGTCTCTGGAGTCTCCATCCTCTGATAGAGATCTGCCCAATGGACCCTGGGCAGGTTCCATGTAGGTCGACAGGCCTCTTTTTACTAAAGAAAACCATTGTGGTCACATACAGAATGGTTCTCCACCCAGTTCGCTTTCAGTTTAATTTGGATGATATTAAGGCCTTGATTGATTCCTATCATTCCATGTGTCTTTCCTGATACTCTCATCTTTTGGCAGTTTTATTTATAGTGGAATGACAGGTTGTGTGATGGATAAGTTCATGGAGGTGTAGCACTGCTGGTTGACCAGCATATACCCACCTTATCTGTGCCACCTGATACACCTTTGGAGGCTGTAATTGGCCATATCCCCATGGGTCATATCATCACTGTTTGTTCTCTTTACCTGTCTCCAGGAGAGACTTTCTATCAATTAAACCTTGATGCTCTCATAGAACAGTTGCTGTTTCCCTTTTTCATCTTGGGAGATATTAATGGACACAATCCCTTTTGGGGTGGTGCAGATATTGATGGGAGGGGTCATTCTGTGGAGTGTATGCTTTCAGATTACAACCTTTCTCTCTTCAGTACTGGTTCTTTTATCTATTTTCATGCACCTAGTTAGTATTTTGCTGCTACTGATCTATCTATCTATTCCTCTTCACTTTTTTTTTTCATTTGTGTTGAAAGGTTGACAGTGACCTATGGGGCAGTGATCATTGTCCTATCCTTTTGAGGGAGATTGGCCATGGTCATTGCCACCCGATCCGAGTGCCATGGTGGAAGTTGGAGCAAGCTGACTGGCTCTCCTTCACTGTTCTTTTGGAATTTGATCCTGCTTTCATTATTCTTCCATCTATTAACGACTGATATTTTTATTTCAAAATTATTTTAAACTGTGAATTTCTTAATAATTTTTTATTCATTCACTACACTTTGTTTTTTATATTCTTCATTTTTCAGACTAGGGCAACAGTATTAAAAACCTTGCCATCAGTTGAAATTGAAGACTTACCAGTCGTCATTAAGTTTGTTTTAAACAATTTGAAACCTGAAGATGCATTTGAGGTTTGTGATGATCAAAAAAGCTAATTTTGTTTTGTAATTGCATAAATGAAAATAATAACTCCTTAATGTATTTGTTTCTTAAGATGATTAAAAACAACCTTTAACTTTCTTGACCTTGTTTATTTTTATCAGTATGTGCAGATATTACAGAAAATTTACAAATAAGTTATGAAAATATATTTATTGCAGATGATGAAATCACATGTAATAGTTAAGCACAGGCCTTAGTTAATGGTCTAATCATAAAAAAATTCCATTCTTTCAAAGTCTATTTAGTAGGTAAAACTTTATCATGGTTAGAATGTCAGACTGTGGATGTGAGGTTCTGTGTTTAGAGCCATGTTACTACCATAAACAGATCATACTGTGCATTTTGTGGTTGTGGGTGAAATATAAGAATGGTGATCAAATATTATTATTAGATTAGAGTAGTCCAAGAGTGGTGGATAGTGTTGACTGTTTACCCTATAATCTATTACTTTTGATTTTATTATTTTCAATTTTTAATATTTATTGTTTTAATTACCTGTTTTTTATTTATTTCTTTGTTCTAAATTATATGTTATCAAACAGGGAACATTTTGTCAATTTAGTTTTAATAATCTTTTAACATGTTAAAGAACAGTTTAGGAACTGAAATGAAATAAGATAAACTATTTATCCTTTGTCATCTATAATTGATTTTCAAGTAGAAAGAGCCAAGACATGTCGTTTATTTTTAATGTAGAGTGTTTTTGTATGAATTTTTTTTAACAGACTATCAATTTTTATCTTAAACAGATCATCAGTGAACTCCGTAACAATTTAGATTTTAAAGCTTCATTTCCACCAGCAAATTCTTCAACCCCACGAAAAAAGAAAAGCTT